TTTACCTTTCCATAAAAGACCTGAGATTGCAAGGGCAATGCACTAGCTGTCTTCTTTTTTTAATTATTTGATTTTTTTTTTTTTTTTACTATTTGAAAAATATAGTGGCCTGGGTTCGGAGCAATTTATCTCTTCCCTCGCCACCCTGCATCACCCATTTTCTGGGCAGGGGAATGGAAACAAACGTGCCTAGAAAAGCCCTGTTTTTGCAAGGATTCTCTATGCTCTCATCTCTGTGCTAGCAGTGAGAAGAGAAGATGAATGAATGGTCACCCTGAGTTAACCCTCACCATGTTCCATGTCATGGTTGATGGGGGAGGCTAGTTTAACCCTGTACCCTCCAGGGCTCTTCTGTGTTAAATCTAACCCGATACTGACTGGCTTTTTGGGTCCCTGTGATAAGCTAATCAAAGCCTACCAACCATCCCAAATGTTCTAGGGTGGCATTTTTCAAAGTGATATTTTGTCGCAAAGTCTTGCTTCTACAGAATCCTGGGTCCCAAATGGCTGAAATCAATACACGTCTTTTGAACAGGTTTGTGCTGATCCATCTCTGCTGGTTTTTCTTTGAGTCCCATTAGGGAGTTCCTGGACATGTTCATCGGATACCCATTTATCAAGAGAGGATTTATCTTTCTCCTGCTACTGGAAGCGTGATCTTTTTGCAGCTAGTTAATGGCAAAGGCAATCTGATAATGGTAAATTAGCAACTTCAGCTAATTGCTTCCTGTAACCTTCCATCCCCCCCCCCCCAATCTGTAGTATAGCGCTAACTATCTTGGTGGCCAGCAATACCTATCTGATCTCATTTGGGTTCTGAAGCTAAGCAAGGTCTAGTCTGGTTAATACTTGGATGGGAAGGTGCCTGGGAAGCCTAGACTGGGAAATCAGAAGCCATCCCATAAGGAATGCAATTTCTGTACTGCTGTCCAGAATCCATAATGGAGTTGAGCTCAATTTGAAGGAGATTCCAGTTTGTTTTCTGTTTGCCCCTAAGACCTCAGAGCTTAAGTAATGGCTAGAAACAGAATAGAGAGATTTGTGAATGAGCCTAGCAATCCTCGGAAAGGGGGTTTGATGCCTGCAGCATTAGTCATGTGTTGCAAATGTGTTTCTCCTGATGGTGTGTTGTTTTGTAAGCCAGTCATTAGAAGGGGAGATGGTGGTGAAGGATGTTTTTTTTCAGGAGCTGCAGCAGAGTTGTAAATATAAATAATGCCATCTGATTCTGCTCATGTTGTTTAATTCTGTTTAAGAAAGAAATTCTACTACATTTACATGATAATAATTCAACTCAGTTGGACTCACCTCTAAATAGATTGTGTCATGTGAGTAGCAATTTCTCCGAACTTTAAGAAAAAAGGAGCTTCATAGATGGTTTTGTACTGGCTGGAAGAATTGGGGAAGGAATGATGCAAAGACCTGTAGCTTGTAATTCGTTGAGGTTTTTTTTTTTCTTTTAACTTTCTATAAAGAGGTCACAACATGCTTGCCTGGAAACTGTGCTGAAACTAGTAAGGCTTCTGAATATGTTTGCTTTTTTGCTGTCCTGGCTTACTTCTGAGTAGACCCACACAGAGGACATGCACGTGCAAATGATGCTCTTGATTATTTCAGGATACATTCATACACACAACACCCACACACTTAGCTGCTTTACGTTTGGCCTCATCAAAATGGAATGTGGCCCTCAAAACATTTCTCAGAACCAGTTTCTAAAAGATTCCTTGGCACTAATAACCATCATGAACATAATATACAATCCCCATTTTATCCGCATTTATTCTGATCATCAGAATCAGAATTGTTCACAGGTCACCCAGTATAATCATTACATATATAAGAAAGAGCAGCCTAAATACCTGAATTAGCTAGCATGGCCCAGTGGTGAAGGTGTTGGACAGGCATCAGGGAGAGCTGGCTTCAAGTTCCACCCACAGCCATGGAAATCATTGGGTGAGTTTGGGTCAGTAACACACTCTCTCAGCCCAACCTACCTTGCAGGGTAGTTGTTATGGAGGGTAATTGTTGGTGACAGAAAAGGAAGGGGGGGGGCTTTGTAGGTCTGCTTGAGCTCCTGAACATTTAACAAATGATAAAATTATGGGTATGTTGCTTTAGGCCCTGAATTTGAGACAACCATATCCTCATTTATTTCTGAGAGTGGCATGACCCATTTACACCTGTTGTCCAGACAGAGCCTTTGGGTCCTTGGTTGTGGAGTTTGGCCTCGGACCCTCCCCAAATCCATCTGGCCCCTTTTCTGCCACCTAAAGAATGCCCACCCCTGCCTTAGTGGACAGCTGGTCTGCTTTAATCCTTTGTTCGCTGCTTCTGCCTTGCTAATGGAATTGTGAATTTTATCTTCCCTAAAATGCAGGCTTCTGTAAAATGGAATGGGGACTGTCTCTGTGCTGGACTGTGAGACTGGGTGGGGGGAGATTATAAAGTACTTAACACACCGCTAAGGCTTAGAGCGGGCAGGAATTAAAAAAAGAAAATGCCAGGGATTGGGCTGGGGTGGGCAAGCATTTCCCTGCTCTGAGCTCTGACCACGTGGCAGATGGTTTGCTGTGCCCCCCGGGCTCCCTGGGTGCTCCTGATAATCAGGCCAAGCCTATATGGGCAGGCCAAACCTGGGGGTGGGGGGGGAATGGTGATTGTTTTTATAAACTGATACCAACTGACTCCAGGTGCAAAATCTAGCAAGTGAGGAAAGTGCAGAATTGAAGTAAGGCAAAATCTTGGCTCAGGACCTGGCTGAAAGCTTGAGAGAACGTCAGTAAATACACGGGGCAAAGATGTGTATAATTAGTCTTTTCATAAAACAGGCTGTATCGTCCCTCATCAAAGGCCCCTGTATCAGGTTAAGTCGTTCTGGCATAAGCGGAGACATCCTTTTGAGGATAAGCAAGTGGCTGAATTATAGGAAATAGAAGGGAGGCATAAATGGTCAATTTGCGCAGCGGAAAGAGATAAACCGTAGGGAGCCTCAGAGATCTATAATGGGACCTGTGCTTTTTTAACACATTCATTAATGACTTGGAAAAGGGATTGAACAGGGATGTAGCAAAATTTGCAGATGATAAATTATTCAACATAGTTAAATCTAAAGCAGATTGTAAGGAGTTCCATGGGGATCTTATAACAGTGGGAGAGTGCATAATGAAATGCAGAGTTGATAAATTCTGCACAGTACATGGGGGCGGGTGGGGGAAGGAGGGAACAAGTTCAGCTACTGTGTTTAGAATTGGCCACGTCCCTTAATAAACAGGAAAGCAGCGCTCAGGTCCCAGGCATATTTACGGAGAGTTAAGTCCATGGCTCATTCCAGAGTCCATCAAGATGGGGCAATTTGCCAGCATCCTGAAAAAAAAAAAAGCATAGGGATTTCCAAAGAAGCTGGGCAAAATAAAATGGACGAATAATGTTATTCAAATAAAACCAGCAGCCTTGTCTTTGGTTTTTGTGAAACAAAACCTAGAAAGAGGGTAGATGACTAAGGGAATGCAAGTTGCCAACTGTAGTTTCCTCCACCCGCTTCTTTCCACTGTGAAGGAGAAGGGGGCAGCTTCTGAAATGGGCACAAGTCTCTCTCACACCCACACCCACAATACAGTTGTATGCAAACATTTAGACACCCCTCATCAATTTGTATTTCAATGACTCCCTAAGTTAACAGTAGCTGACACAACTTCTCCACTGTACAAAATTAACCTCAATATCCTTTTGTAAATGTGAATGTCTACTTGACTTTGTGTGCATTTAACATTAAAAAAAAACAACAGTGAATACAGCAGGTACAGAAGTTGGGATCTGTCAGTCACCACTTTGTAACATTTCCTTTGGCAGAAACAATAGCTTCCAGATGATTCGTGTTTCCAGATGAGAGTCATTCTAGCCTTGCTTTTGGGTTTTTTCAACTCTTCCTTGCAGAACTTGTCTAGCTCAGAAATATTCTTGGGTCCCCTTGCATGCTCTTATCTTTCTTTCTTGTACTACATGGTTGATTTGAAGGTATGTTTCAGATACTTGTCCTGCTGAAATATCCAACCTTTTTGCAGCTTCAATTTCTTCACTATGGGACATTAGATTGAAGACTAAGAAAAATCTCTGCCAGAATTGCCCCCAAACTGGTCATATCAGCAAAAATGGAACTCATAAATCACAGGAACAAACTGCTGAAAAGCTAACAGTTGAGTAGTCCACAGGTTCATAGTACAGGTAGTCCCCAGTTTAAAAACGAGTTCCATTCCCAGGGTCTGTCCTTAAGTCAAATTTGTATGCAAGCCAGAACAGTATTATTGTATAATACTGTATAAGTAGTATTGTGTAATTAAATTATTGTGTATTTAACTTGGATGTTGTTACAATAGGCTCCGTTCTTAACTATGGTCCTCTGTAACCTGGGCATTCTTAACCCAGGGACTCTCTGTACAACACTGCTTCTACCACAGTGATCTTCATGGGAGAGTTTTCAGAAGGAACCCTTTTCTCCAATCTCATCACACCAGTCATTGTCTAAAGTATGCAGAAGAAAACCTTAGTAAGCCTGAAACATTTTGAAACAACACTTTGGAATGATGAAACAAAAATTGAATTCTTTAGCTACAACTACACAAAGGTCTGGGTATTTGCCCTCCCCATTTCATACTGAACAATTTTTAAAAACTCAGTTCTTGAGGGACAAATGTTGCTGATTTGAGATAGGATAAGTTTGTAGGAGAATTGTAGGAATCTAGGATAGGATCAGGGGCAGCAATGCATGATTTTGATAGGGGATTCTGCATTGAATAGGGGATTATGCCAAGCAGGCAAACAGATTTCTTTCTCCTTTCCTCAGATTCCCACTTGCGTGTAACGCAGAATCATTCGTGTGTGTGTAAATATAGCTCAAGAAAATCACATTAGGTTGCAAGAAACCATCAGTCCAGTTCTGAGTCAGTGTCTGTCTCCTGACATTGTCTCTGTACTGGGGACCAAATGGCATAACATGACTTATTGCTACATAATTGAACTGCCTTGTTATGGCCAAGAGCTGTAGGAAAAAGCTAGCAAAGATGGGAAACTTTTCCAGCACTGTCTGTCTGCTAGGAAAAGCTGCACTCTTGGCTTTCAGCACTTCTTGAAGCTTCTAAAGGCATTGGAACTCATATATAAGAAGGAACAAATTTATCTTTCTCAACAAAAACAGTGCAGGAGAGAACTGTTTGACTCAACTTAGTCTGTGGGTGAATCTCACACCACTGCCACAATATGGAAGGTTTTAATTCTGGCCTTATAGTTCTCTCTTCTGAAATGGGAGGAAGGAAGGGAGGCAGGCAGGATGGCTGGCTGGCTGAGCACTTTTTCCTGAACTACAACAAAGAAGTATAGTGAAAGAAGTAAATTTGCATGAGGTTCACCAGGTTTCTATAGTTTCTTTTAACAGATGATGTTTGGGCAAGGAATCTTGAAACTAGAGATCTGAATATGTTCCCACCCTTTACCTGCAGAAAAACAAACAAAAAACAAGACTATTATGCCAGGTTAAGCAACACATTACTGAAAAACAGAGTAGGGAATTCTGAAAAAATTAAATACAGAAAGGAAGATCAACAGGTGGGAGGGGAGGAGAGGGGAGGGAAAGGTGCTTGGGAGAGCATTAAACCTGAATGGGCAAACGTGCTTTCCTCCAACAAGGTGGTTGACATGCCTTCTGGGATTCCTGCCAGGCAATTCATTCCCCAGAAGAGATACAAGAAGCAATGTTCCCATTTAGGAGCGAAAGGTTCATAAGCAGCTTCGGGTTGCAGTGCTTCACAACAAACCTCTGTCTTGAAGCAAAGCAGCCCTTCAAAGTTTTGCATCCCATTCACATCTATCCATACACACTTATAGGATCATGAGGAGAAATACAAGTATTTTTAAAATCCCCATTCAACATTTCCCTATTGTACTGACGAAGGTAATTCACTAAGAAAAAGATCATTAATGCAATTAATAAATATGACCAGTTTTGAACAAAATTATCCTTACATGTAGGATTTTTCAAAGCTCTTTCTTGTGATGTCAGTTTTTCAGCTGAAGCCATTTCCAACTCTATTAAATACCGCCAAAGCAATGAAAGACAGATCTTAGGGTTTTTTGTCTTGGTGGTGCGGCCTTATGCTGCTCCAGACACTGTTCCATCTAGTTCAGTATTCTGTCCATCCAAGGTCTCCAACCTGGTGCTTGTCAGGCCAGGGTGAGATTCCAGCCCTGCTTCTCTTTCCTTTGTGAATGAATGAAGGGTTTACCATCATCCACTTGAACTGGGGGACTAGCATCTTTTGCTGCCAAAAATGGTTGAGGGAGCAGCCAAGACTATCGTGTCCATCCTTGGCGTGGGGTACAGGTGTCTTCTCTTCCAGCTCTTTTTTGCCCAAGCAATGTTTAAAAAATTGTTGGTGGCATGATTAGGCCAGCACCCACCCCTCTCAATTTATCTTCGCAGTATTTACCTGGAAGACACCTCCCACAAAGGAAGAGTAGATAGAAGATTGATCTTTTGATCTATCAAACTTTCCCTCCTTCGTGGGCAAGGGCCAACTCCCCCACCTTACCAAGATAAAGTTACCATCTTTAGCTGAAGCCAGTCTCTGAGTTATTCTCTGTGTATATATTCCTGCCAGAATATACTGTAAAAAAGGGGAGAAAAGAATGACTCTTGATTAAAATAAATTGCCTACAAAGTAAAATACCCCATTTACATAATTAATTGATTCCCATCTGCATATGCTAACCAAACTCTCTGGCTTACAAACCACTTGAAGAAGGAGAAGGAGAAGAAAAAACAACAACCAGGCAGAGATGTAGGGAGGGAAATGAAAGCTGCGCTGAAAAGTGAAGGAAAGAGAAAGGAGGGAACAAAACTGGATGAAGAGAAGGAGAAGGGGACTGGAAAATGGAAAGGGAAGGAAAGGGGAGGGGGAAGGTCTGTTTAAGTGATACAAAAAGGGTTTAATTCATCTGAGAAGCAGCTCCTGCCCCCCCATCGCCCGCCCCATGTCTAATTTTCAGGCTAATCTATGCTTTTCAGCAGCGACTTACAATACCTGCCCGTTCCTTTGTCTTCAACAATTTCTTTTGTTCTTATCTGAAGAATTCCATTCCATTCTATTAAATTCACCTCGATTAACAGGCAAATGCTTTCCTATCTAGTTCATTTTGCTTCTTTTCTATCTTTGCTTTTATGTTCCAGATGAGTTCTAAACTGGGTTTGGGCTGGCAATGTTACATTTTGCCAGCAGAGGGCAGTATCACCATACTAAGATTTTTAGTTGCCAATTTGCTAAACATTAGATTTTCTGTTGAGTATTGAATTTTACTTACACAATGGCATAACACAACCAGCCTGCTTCTCTTGTGTGTGTGCTCTCTCTCTCTCTCCCTCCTTCCCTCCCTCCCTCCCTCACACACACACACAAACCCCACATACTATTTTGCTCCTCCTTGGTCCCTGGTTTATATAACAATTTGCTGGGTCATATTACTAGTACTCTTAGAATGTATTATTTAAGAGTGAGGGATGGAAGCAGACATTTTCCTCAGACACACCCTCTAATTCCCATACAGATTAGTTATTCCTTAACACACTTTAACTAGCCTGTTGTATATTCAAGATGATAAGGAGTGCTAAAGGGGTGTATTTCTCCAATTGGACTCTCTGCAAGTGATTGTGAGTTCAAAACTACACAATGGTAGTAGCCATCTGGTATTAATTACTATGGAGGAAAAGGGGATGACCTGATGTACCCTGATGCTCAACACTTTTGATGTCACAATTTGAGGCTGGGGGTTGGGTGGGGAATGGGTAGTTCAGGCTGACAATGAGAATGCTTTGGCTCCTAAATGCCTCATATTCCCATTCCAACCTTTAACCACACACATACACACAAAGGCCCAGACAATTAGCCCTCCTGGCCATGGCACTGTGTCCTTAGAATGCTTCCTGTAGTCCTCCAGCTGTTGGGAACAGTGAGGTGCCGCCCTTGACCAGCCCCCAATTTCCCATCTCTTGTGAGAGTTTGGGACCATGTTCATGAAGTTGGCCTCTCCCTCTCTCTCCCTCTCTCTCCCTCTCTCTGTATCAACTCTATCCATCCTCTAAGCAACTGCAGGGAAAGACCTTGAGCTCCAGCTTGGCCTGGAAAAGCAGCGTGTGGCATGAAGGACACTTGCTGAGGGAAGCTAGGCCAACCCCAGGATCTCCCAGCAGAGGGCAGGCCTGCTGGTGAGAGGTTCCATCATGGAAGGCAACGAGACAAATGCCCTTGCTTGGTGTCTGGAGGAGATGTTGTCCTTGGAGCTGAGTGTTGTGTTGGCTGCCGCACAGAAACGGTGCGTGCTGCCCCAAGTGAGGCTGGCATCTCTGGGACAGGCAACCCTCTGCATGTTAAGTGGTTGCATGAAGGGACACTAGGACAGGATGGGTATATATTGGGAGTGGTGAGGTATGGCCCTTCCATCTCTTCCAAGTTTCATTCAGATTCTTCAGATTTCCCTTGCTGTGCTCTGCCAAAATGTTTCTCACTTCAGTCCCCCTTACTTGAAAGATGAATGGGGGGGGGGGGGGGGGGGGGAGGTGGATAGTGGGTAGAAACATTGCATGCCTTGGCCACAGTGCAAGGTATCTTCTGTGTGGCTTAAAGAAGACCTGTCTCATCATCTGCTCTACAGTTTCAGCCATGAGGGAATCTGTCCCATTGTGAAACAGGTAATAAATCATGGGGGGTCCTTTCCTCTTCCAACAAAGAGCAGTTCCATACTGCCCATCCAACATGTACACAATGCCCCACTTTTGAGCCCCCCATTTGACCCCTCTCTCACTTGTGGATCCCTTGCCTGCCCTTGGGGTGTATCCCTCTCTGTTGGCCTCAATTCCCCCATTTGGGAAAATGCTTTCCCTCACAAGTCTTAAGAATGCTATGACTCACTCCAAATTAAGATTTTAAAAGAATGGCTCCTGGGAGAATTTTGGATGAGATTCCCCTCAAATTGTTCACCATCCATGACATCTTCTGTCAGCTTACTTTTGTTCCAGGAGAACTCTGAACTCTTTCTTAACACTTAGAATCGAATTGATGACATCTTTGTTCCTTTTGTCAAAAGTCACCTCTTTTTTTAGCTGGTGCTCCGTGTTGCTGTCTTTCAGAGCTGTTCCACGTGGGGCGTGTTTCCCTGTGGGTTTTCAGGAGCATTCATATGAAACAACAGCAGCAGCAGCAGCATCAGGAAGCATGGTCCTCCTGAAATAGGGCTTTTT